ACCCCCCTCCCCCCTTACCAGTTCTCCCAGTTGTTCCCATAACTCTTTCCGGTGTCAGCGCCCCTTTCGCTGCGCCCTTCGCCGGTGAAACTTCGAAAAGTCGCTTATATATATATATAGGAAAGAAGGATCGCAAAAGGAAGAGATGAAAGAAATCCGGAGGTAGGGGAGGATTAAGGGGATTGTGAGGGAGGACGGGGAGGGATTGAATATTCATCGCAGGTAGGCCGAGCGCGGGTACGCGAGCCGCGCCCTGCCTGATTAGATCATAAAACTAAAACTCCCGGGAAATTAAAGCCTACAATTTATGGGTGCGAAAACGCGACGCTCTGCTGAAAGAAAGGGTGCATGACTGGTTAGCGGGGTGGTGGTGGAGGGCAAGCGGGTGGCAAGCGGGTGGCACCGGCAGCGTCGAGCGGTCGGGGGAGGGGGGGCAGGAGGGAAATAGAACAGGCGTAATGTGTATGTGTGGGGTTGGGAGGGTGGCGGGCAAATGGATACAGAGCGGATTGGGTCCCAGTAGCCCTCATGGGAGGCTGCTCCCACCTATGGGGATGGTGATTGTAATTATCACTGCACAACAGTCTATGGAAGAGGGAAAGGGAGAGGGAGAGGGAGAGAGAGAGGGAGAGGGAGACAGAGAGAGACGGGGAGGGGTGAGGGGAGACGTGATGTATTGGGGCTTAGAGTGGATTTCTCCTCCCCCCTCTCCTCTCCCCTTGTATTCAGGCGATTGAGTGATACAAGTGTTTACGGCAATGGAGCCATATTCCGAGAGTAGATTCCTAGCGCGTAGCATTGCTTCCATGGAGATGGCTATACACCGCAGTCGACGGTTGCCTGGGCGCCTAACTTGCGTAATCTACTGTAAACGTAATCTCTCGCGTAATCTGCTAGAATCAGATTTAAGGCGTCTTGTCTTTGTCAGGAAGGAAGTGGAATATAGGGGGAGATAGAGAAACGGAAGAGGTGGGAGACACCGAGAGAAGGAGAGAGAGGCGGAGCAACTCGAAGGTAGTTGCCTTCGTTTACAAGGTGACAGACAGTCGGGTGGCAGGAGAATAAGGTGGGGACGCAGGTAGGAAGGAGGTTGGGCGGGGGACTGGATCTTTCCCGGGGGTCCTGGTGAGGGGAGCCCTGGTGAGCGTTAGCGGTACGTTGGCACTGGGCAGGCCGCCTGGTGTAAAAAACACGCAGGGCTGCTGGGTGGTTGATCGGTTCATCAGCTGGATGGTGCCGAGGGCACGGACGAGCTCTGGCTTGAGGCTGCCGGCGTGGTGAAGGGCGAAAGGTTGGCAACACTTCCCTGGCCGGGCTGACCCCCTCCCCTCCCCGGTGGCCCACCTGTCTCGCTTCTCGTCTGATCTGCTGGCTTACGCGCCCCGCTGGGTTTTCAAGCTCTCAGGCGAGGCGCTCAGCTCCCGGGCCCCCTGCATATGCCGCGCCCGGGCGGCGCGACCAGCGATAGCAATGGCGGCGGCCGGCGAATACGCGATGGATGTTGGTGCGAGTGTAGGGCGCTGCTGTCCGGACGCCCTCCAACAGCAAACACAGTTGGGAATAAACACTCTCACACTCACACGCTGAGCATTGGTTGTTGGGCCGGCAGCGCCGAAGCGCACGCCCATAGCACCCGCACCACGCTCAGGTGGCGTGCTAGGGGTGTGCTGCGGGCGTGGCGGGGCGTTGCGGAGCGGGGCGGCCCGTGGGCCCCGCGGTCGGTCGGGATCAAGGCCGACAGGAAGCTAAACCACTCACTAACGCCCCACCACCGTGTGAGAAGGGGTGTAAAGAACTGTAGACATTCGTTTGCGCTTCGACCCGTGCACCCAAAATTATACACGCAGCCTGGACTGGGCGGCCTGTGTTCACATGCGGTATAGGGGGCCAGAGGAGGGGGCGAGTTTTCGACAGGGGCGAGGCACGTAGTAAAGATAAGGCCAGAGAGGCACGCCCAGTGCGGCGTTCCGATTCATAAATTTCCTACTTTTGCGCCGCGTGGCGAGAGGGCGGTGCGGGGGCGGAGCGGAGCGGGGCG